GTCGAGAGCGAGAGAGCCGGACTCAAACACGCAATTATATCATCGCGAAAAAAAATGTGGGTTTTTTTTCTCCTTTTCAAGCTTAAAGCAGATCTTTTCAAATAAAATCATACACGTGAAAATATCCATCTCGTATACTTACACGTACTTGTGAAAACCAGAGCAAGCCCTCCCGCGAATTGTACATACATATCCAGCAACACGAGCAGCAAAGCAACTTGACTTAACGAGTCCCTTCGTATTAAAAACTGCCCTGAAAAGGATCATTCGGTAAACGACGAGCGTCAACCCTTTGGTGATTTCAATTTTCTTGTAATGCCGAGTGGAACTTGAAAATAAAAAGAAAAATAAAAAATAAAAAACATAAATAAATAAATTGACCGGTACACGTAGTTACTGTGGTCGCAGGGACTTTGCTCTGACTAATTAGTGGTCATCAATACAGAGTCACCCAATAGAAATGAGCGTATAATATATACGTATAGGCTCGCCTGATACGTTCGGTATACACGTGCAAGTTAACGAGTCACGTCCAGCTATGACGTATATGTATTGCTGTAGTAAATACCCGTACCCGTGGCTAACGCTGACGTCAGGTGGTATTGTGTTCGAGATTCTATTGTATGATACGCCTATATTACATTACGTATGTTTTTCAAAGGTACAAATTTGTCTGTCATTTTGCCGGCTCATTTTTGATGTAAACTCAAACTTGTGTGTGTATTTCTTTTTTTTTTTTTTTTTTTTTTTTAGGGACAGCAGTATTGACTGGTTGTGGGAAACATAGGAAGGCCGTGGGTTATATGGACACGTTACGCAGGCAGGAAGGTAAAGAAAAAAAAAAAATTCGCGTTACCGTGTTTATATCATAATACACGTGAGTATGAATAGATCCAGCGAAGGCAGAAAAAAAAAGATTGATGGTTACGTGCTATTTTTTTCTGTTCTGCCCTGGAGAGGATAGTTTTAATTTTCAATGTTACTTCTGGCTGATGATTTGAGCTGTGGGTGTATTGATGATATTTTGACAACTGTACGTATTGTTATTATGTGCCGCATGTAAAAGACGGAGGGGAGTGTTGGTTATCGGTATCTTTGAATTTTTTCTTGACTCTCGAGAACTAATCAATATTATGAGAAAAAAAAAAAAGACAAGTATTTAAGTGCTTCCTGGTACCTTTCATAAAAATATTATTTATCGGAAGAGTTCCATGGCAATCCGTGGCCATGAGACCATATCTATGAACTAGAGATAGACAGACTTGGGGTCAGATACTTTTTTTATTTTTGGGCAGTATAAATATTTACTAAAAATGGGACATATTTCTCATGCATAAAAAAATAATTAGTAAGAAATGAAAACAAATTATAACTTATTTTCATTAACTATTTTTTTAACACTATTGAATAACAGTACTTAAAAAAATTTTTTCTCGGAAAATTATAGGAAATAATAATTTGAAAAAAAAGAGTTAAACCATCGGGAAATGTGGATGTATATCTTCAGTGTACGTCACTTATCTGCTAAAAAAAAAAATTTGTTAGTTTTGCATCGTATTAATTTCAGGATGCACTTTATTTCGAAAAAAAAATTGTATTCAATACCTAAAAACTCACAAAATAATTTTGCCCAATTTATGATATTTCCTGCCACAGGTCAGAGTCATACGTTATTGTTTACTTTGCCACTGAATTGCTAAAAACAATTTGAAATGTTTGGCATGGAAATAGTACAAAAATTTTTGCTTCGATAAATACCAATTTACGTGGCATGGGAAAAAAAAACTCAGCAAAAAAATATCGACAGCCACCTTTGTGTTTCTTCACGTGGAAGAAATCTCGTAGATTTTCATTTGGCCCTTGGCTTTTTCCCTGACAGAAAATCATTACACATTTCGTGCACACTCGAGATCGACGTCTTAAATATTTGAGACAGGCAGTCACTTGGGCGCGGAAAAGTCAAACGGGCGAGAGAGAGAGAGATAAGTGCGAAGAGCTCGACACGAGGGGTGTAAAAAGACAGGGAGGTGGGAGTCGCTGTCGCTCAAGCGTTTTGTTCGCAGGATAGATAAAACAAAGGGAAAAAAAGTGCTCCCGAGTGCACTGGCGATTGGATACCAGCCAAGTCAATAGTCTGTGTATTGTATATCTCTATAGGCGACGCAGCAACGCGCTGTGCACTTGCCAAGCTATCGAAATTGATTTTCGAATGCTCGATTGTGTACCTGATTACACCTTTTATTTGTTCTCCTTTATAACACGCTGTCACGTTAAAGTGCATAATTACGATGTAGAACGACGTGGCAAGGTGCGGTTGGGGAAACGAGGGTTGGAACTATACATTGGGAGGCAAAGAGATTTTGTGGAAAAACTATTATTCAAAAAGTGGGATCTACCCACGTCACGTATTCACAATTGCATACGAGAGGAATGAATAATTGCCTGCTCTCTTTTACCCGCATAAATCATCATAGAGGGCAACTCATAAATCGTCCGGCCACTATTTGAGCGCAGAGCACGTGTAACGCATTTGGCACTGGAAAAAAAATAATACTTTGTACGTTTAAAGAGAAAACGTCTGATTTGAACACGATAAGGACAACGTGTAACATTAATAATTGATTTTTTTTTCTGTAATGTATAAAATAAAAAATAAAAAATTNTTTTTTTTTTTTTTTTTTTCTTCAAAAGTATTTTGTTTTTGCGAAAAATACCAGAGCCTATACAGCACTAGATGGATTCACGTGTAAATGACGAAATACATACCGGAACGAATACCGCAATTAGTATTCAGTGACCTTATAATTATGAAAATCGGAAGGAAAAAAAAACAAACACGCCTCCAACAGATCGAGAAAGTGTTCGATCACCCTCCGCGTCTATTGGATACACATATGATATTTCATTCCCGTACCGTCGTCACATACTCCAAAGGAAAACTAACGACGTACAGGTACCACTACTTTTTGCAAGTGCTCATTTGCGGGAAAAGCGCGGGCAGTAAACTACCGGATAAATCACGAGATGCAGGATTCGCGGTGTACTTACCGATCCTGCACGCACGCACGTGTCATCCCTCCCGATAAGCGCACAAACGCAGTCTCCCTCCTTCAAGCTCTTTTTTTCTCCTCCTTCTTCTTCTTCTTTGTAAAAGTCCGGTCTAAGAATAGACGCGTCGCTGCACTTTACACTGCACATACCGGTCTATACTCCCCGGTACGTGTATATATATATATAATGAACGCACGCAACCTGCACTTGTCGCGTCTCCTTTTTCCTCCCCCCCCCCCTGTATCACCTGTACAAGTATACGTATGCGCGTAAAAGAGCAAGTATGCAGGGCAGCAAAAAGCAAAGCCTATCTTTATCGAGAGAGAGAGGGAGAGCTCTAGCTCGCGGATTCTTGGGCGAGTATATACATGGTTATATAGACGAGCACGTCTCCTCTGGCAGGGGACTCTTTATTTTTATTTCATTTTATTTTTTGCCCGAGATCTCTTCCGTCAGACTCGTTATGTGGAAATGTCGGCTCGTTTGGCTTTTTTTTTTCTCGTTTTTTCTTACGGAGAGCAGGTGAAGCAGCGTTTAACTGGGCTGCTGCGAATTTTTTTTTTTTTTTTTTTTCCTTCAACTAGTTTTTGCTTCTATTTATAGCGAGCTCATGAGATTCTAAAAATAATGGCTCGCGATAGGGATTTGGTACTGTGCTCTGCACTTTTTTTTTTTTTTTGTCGCTTGATGTTAATGGGCTCTGCGAAGGGTGGAAAATTCAATCGGCAGGATACGAAATCGGCACTTTTTACTTTCACTGAAAGCTGTTTGTTTTCTTTAGTTTTAGGACGGTATACGCGCGGCAGAGTGGCGAGAGAGAAATTTTTTCATGAATATTCAAGGCTCCTCTCCGAAAGAATCGATCGGTACTTGATCTTTGTTTCAGCCCAATTGTGGCAAGTGCGTTACACCGATTTCAATGCCACGTGACGAAATTTGAAGAGTCAGCTGATTTGGCACTAATTCCTCTTTTTTTACGCCGGTGATTTTTTTTTCCACCACCGTGAAAATCGAAGAACTATTTTCACGAAGAAAATCATACTGTAAGGAAAAAAAAAAAACGCACGTGCCCACGTCACAGGCCTGCGTCGAGTGAAAGCGCCCAACGACGCACGTGACCACCACTGACTTTGCGCGTTAAATTTTTATTTTTTCTTCCATACTAGCATGTGTACCTACGAGAGTTTTATGAAACTATGCAAAAATCACCACAGCCGAGTCGTACAACGTATTTTTGTGGCAGCCGAGAAAGGGAATCGCGATGAAACAATACCCGTGATTTATGCCAGGATCGCCGGGTGATACGGTATACACTATTACGTTCACTCGCAGCGAGTTCGACGAGTGATTAATTTCAGAACACAGTGTGTATGCATATCCGAGAATATAAAACATGCCAAGAGAGAGAAAGAGAGAGAGAGAGCGTTTTCTTTGTTCTGACGCAGCTTGGAAACTCGTAGAAGATACGATAAGGCGGAGAGAAAGAGACTAATCTGCGAGCGGTTTTTTCAAACGGCCCTTCTGATTTATTGCGGGGAGGAAAAACATTTCATCGGCCAATCGACGATAAGGTGGACTGAGTACGTTTGTCTGGCCGTGGTCGAGATAAAAACAGCTGGTCCGCCTGTTAAGTGGGTGATGGCGAATTGTTATATTTCAATTGTTTATTACATTGTTGATTTTCAACTGCCCTACATCGATGGAAAAACAACTCGATCGCTTGCCGATTTCTTTTCTGTTTTTTTTTTTTTTTTTTTTCGTACAAACTTAATTTTAGCTGAGATCGGTAGTCACATCGGTAGTCGGGCACTTGGAGATATATTTTGTGTTTTTTCATCGGAAATCGGATAAATCGGTAATTTATTGGTAACGATCGCCACAGACGAATGCAAAACAATGTATAGAATAGTTTATGTGTACTATTTTTCTCAATCATGAGCGTCACTCACGTTGTCAAGCTTGATCCGAACCCTGGTCGGGTCGCTACCGGTGCGCGTGCGGCGTCGTCTTCGTTGCGTCTTCCTCGCAGCTGCGATTCCTCTCAATCGGAGGTTGAAAAAACAACCCCGTGCAGATCACAAAAATTACCGTAACTCGCAGGATGAAAGGGAAACTCCGTCGTACAACTGTACTTTGCTGGCGATTTTGCACACCGATCACGGAGCTATACGCGTCGTTTTGAGAAACAAGAAAAATCGGCAAGCACTTTTCCAACGAGGATCAACTTTTTGACGACAATCGGTGTCTCGCGGTGACTCTTTGAAAATAACGCGGCCAGTCCGAGCGAGACGAGGGTTCGGAGACAACTGGTGAACGAGCGCAGCCGATCGCTCGTTCGAAGAGATACGCTCGCTCGCGGGGCACTATACTCACTCGGTACAGTTTTCTTCTTCTTCTTCTTCTTTCTCGGCTCTCTCTCTCTCTCTCTCTCTCTCTCACTCGTCGGCTTTACATGCATGAGTACACCCACATCTGCTCAGGTACGTATCTACGAGCACTTTTCAGCAGACGATCGGTAAGTAAGTAAATATACATTACTGAGGTGTTTCAAAGCAACATCATCGCCAGTCGCGTTTGGGCCCCACGCGGCACGCTACTCTGCGCCACGGCGACGTCGACGGCTTGCTCAGCTTATGGTATGCTGCAGCAGCCACCGGTCCCCTTCTCTTTTCTTCTATCCTCCCTCTCCCGATCGCGACTCTCTATTGTTATCTTAATTTATTTTGGTTTGTTGAGCTTTGACGTTGTGTATTGTATACATACAGCGGAAGATCCGAGCGCCACCGAGTTGGCGGTGATACCGATTTTCTGGTCCATCACTGTAACAAGGTGTAGGGTTGCGGTATTTTCGTATGACATCATAGTTACCTTATTGAAGTAACCGATAGGCGACGACAAATGTCGAAATCAAAACATTGAATTGTATGCATAGTGAATGTATGCTCTTGGAAACGACGAGACTATTCCGTGTAAATCAATTTGTTTCCTTACTTATTGATGTTTTCAAAGAAAATTATTATCATCTTTTCCGTCACACTTCATCCGGGCCGGATTCGGATCGACAGTAGGAGTACACCTCGCAACACGGGCACGTTGCTGACTTTTGATTATGTAATTTGAGGCAATACATATTCGTTGAAACGAGCAATGACAAGTGCATGCTGCTAATTACTCAATTAGCGCGAAATGAATACGATAAGAAGCAATGAAAAGAATTTATTTTCAAACTCAGGGACCACTGTTTATCCTTGATACGACATTCACGTACGACATTATGACGTGGGAGCAAGTCATCGGACTCGAAAAAAAAGAAAAAATAAAACAACAACAAAAAAAGTTAACGAGCAATATTATCATTGTACGCGATCAAAGGCAAACATTTCGAAAGTTGGTCTGCAGAGTCTCCAATCGAGCTTATTTTACATAATACTTCAAATAACCAGGCAGATGCATAAAGGTACACCTCGAAACCTCGCTGATGATCTACAAAATCTCCATTTTTGTTTCAGGTAATAAACCTTTTTTGGTTTTTCTTTTGCTTTACACAACCCTCGATGCCTAATCCACGATTTCGAACGAAATAAAACTAACACAAGCATCATTGTCGTAGTGGTACGAGATAAAACTTAATTTTTGTGCAAACTCGCCTCCAAACGCAGCTCCACAAGCCACCTCCCATACAGCCGAGGTGGTATACTCGCAAATTCCACTGTTCTCCCCCCCCCTGCCTGGTGTACATGGCACTGCCACATATAGGTGTGTCCACATTATCTCGAAAGCTCCAGGCGTGCGCTCGCCAGATACACCTGCAGCTTGTCCGTGCCCTCCTCCAATGGGCCCGGCTCTTATCGAACAGCCCCACTCGATCGCGAGAAGCTTGAATAGGTACGCACGAGCGAGCGAAAGACAATGGCCCGGGAAAAGCTCGGACAGCTCGTTAATCGAGAAAGTAAACGCGGCGGCTGGCCGCGCTGTGGAGAAAAACACGATGAATGGCCCGACCTCCCCCGTCCTTGTACTTACACGCCGGTCCTTAAACGAAGGAGCTTACCAAGAGGGAAATGGAACAAAGCACCTTAAACAACAACAACAACAACAACAACAACAACAACAATCCTTCGCAAGTTCAACTAGCGTCGCTTAGCTTTGTTTGTCCTGAAAATAACGCGCATCCTTCATTGTGTGTTTGTCGGTCGAAGGGTGAATCGAATCGTGTCGGGGGGGGGGGGGGAAACGCGCGTGTGTGTACTCTTGTACATATTCAACGATTCATCCTCGCCCGAAAAAGCCTCCGCTGCTGCACTTGACTCACTTTCAGGCACATCAGTCAAGGGTAATCAAACGCGTGCGTGCGCATATTATATAGGCATACGCAAATCAGTTTCTCACCGATGTTGTGGTTGTTTCATTTTTTGTTGTTTTTTTTTTTTTTCCTCCTCCACTTACTTGATTCGATGGATATCAGCTCTTGTGAATCGACGGGAAAGAAAAAAAAAGGGACACCTGTTGCCGAGGAGAGAAACAAAAGAGTCGGGGTCGCGCGAGAAAGTTTTTTGATCAAGTGCGCCGAGCGGTAATTCCACTGGGTTCAAGAGGAAGCGGCCACCACTCCGCGTATACCATTGACTTATTTCTTTGGAAGTTCGAGGCGAGTTTTACTTCTGTTTAAGGTGCACGCGTGATTCACGGCGCGGGTTTATTGCCGCGCGTTGTTTTTCGCCGACTCTGTGTGTATATAGGCGCGCGCACCATTTATCTTCCGCGCTCGTAAAACGGCTACTCTCGGCGATTCGCTCGAGGATTTTCGACTCCGTGGAGTACCTTCCCCCCCCCCCCCCATATTGATAAGGATTAAAAAGTGCTCACGAAGAACGATACACAACAGCGGCAGGTGCAGTATATAATAGTACTTTGAAACTAATTTCTTGAATGCGTATCTCAACTTCCGCCCTATTCGCAGTCGCCCAGAGCTGAGATTCGCTTGGAGGTGCGAGGGAAACTTTCGTTTAACCGATAGTGTATAGGTCCTGGTCTCGACGTGAACATCTTCAAGCGGCACTCCGAGGGTGTCGAGCTCGTGTTGCGCGAGTGTACGAGGGCTCAAATGGCTCTGTGCTTACGCGACTCCGTTAGTTGGGAGACGTAAGCTGCGAGAGAAGGATGGACGGCTACAGTGTGATAAACTCGTGGATGAAATTTGTTTTGTCAATAATATATAATTAATCATATGTGTATATTTTCAGATAATAATAACAGCAATGTTTTGTTGCAAGAGCTGTTTGCAATATAAGCGCGTATGGTGTTGTCGACATCTCACACATGGATACCGAAAGAAAAAAAAATCAGATCATACATTTGAAGCATGATAACAATCTCAAGTTGAAGCTTTATTTTCTAAGCCCTATACCTTTGAATCCCATGTAGATTATCGTGATGCAAAGCTGCAGGTCATCTCGCTTTTGACTATATTTCCGCACTACGTGGTTTTTGCAATTTAATCATAAGTATACCTAAGAACAAATGAAACATTTCGAGGGAATCATTACTTTTTGAAAGTATTTGTCGTTATTTTGACACTCGCGAGTAGACCACTGAAAAAAATTACACAACTACCGGTCATCAGCTTCACTCACAATGCAGAAGAATTCGGTACTCTGCGCAATTAAAATAATGGGGATGTGGGGATGTCGGATCGATATGTTGAAGCAATCTCAATCCCGCGGAGCACGGCCCCTCTGTGAAGCGTTAACCCACAGCAATGATGAATATAAGCAGCAGCTAATTCCAATTATCATCCACATATATACGGCTGGCGTGACGGAATCAAGCTTACTGATAAACCTACCGAGGCGATGCCTATACACAAGTCTATTGGAATTTACAAGCTCTCCCACCCCCCCCCCCAACCCTTGAGTGGCTTACCACCGCACGTGCAGCATGCAACGTCTCTTGCTATTTGCCATCGGGACTCCAAGCCGTTCGCCCTCGCCACGCGTGCATGATTAACGACGTACCACCCCCCCCCCCTGCTTGATGCACATTGAGAGCAGCGCCACGTGTACTTTTAATGACGTCGAATCTGCCTGCACTTCGATCGCGGAGCTTTCCAAGGGGATTTGGGCCCCTTTGTCCCGCGTAAATAGCTTTCGCGTCGAACAATGACGTGCTCGGAGCTTTGGGTACGTTGTACGTGATTATCTAAAGCGTGTACAGGTGCTTACTGTGTGCTTACACATATAGCGGGGACTAATTATTTTAGGATGAGGGTCGATGATTTTCTTCTTTTTTTTTTTTTTCCCCTGCGTTGCCTGGTAACCAATCATTCTACTAGATGGTTCTTTAGAGGTATGTCTGTTCAGTGAGACCGGAACATTTTTTCATTGTTTCAATTAAATAGTTTTAAACTGCGGGGCGGGGTTGTTAATATATTATGTCTTGAAGAGGCCTCCTCGAGTGGCGACAATTTTTTTTATTGAAATAAATTATACATTCACTCCACGTATGGCTTCTTCATTGTTTCACAATACGCAGTACACTCTGCTAGAAGGAGAAAAAAAATAATACCTATGTTCTCTGATTGGATTTCGCGTGAACGCGTGTTGTCAGGTTTTTTTTTTTTTTTTTTTTTTTCGTTTAGTTACGTTACAATCGTTTTGTTAGTAATCGCGTCGGGAGCGTGTCGTGTCAATTTCATTGCCCAAACACACTTGATCCGGATACAACTCGCTCCTTTGTTTTTCGACTTGGCGATAAATATTTGGTTCAACGATGCATAAAGTGCACATCAACACCGCGACGAGAAGAAGGAAATAAAAAAAAAAAAAAAAAAAAACCTCGGAGGAGCACCGGCGCACGGGAGTCTTCGAGAGGCGGAAAGAAATTCCCGGAAGCCGTGGCATTACAATAATTTCGAATTGCGCAACAACGATAATTACCAAGCGAGAAACGCGCGCGCTAAACTTCATTATTCGCGACTGTCTGTCTGTGCATAGGTATATATATACGGTGTGAGCTTCGAGGTGTGTCGATCGATTGCTCTTCCACCCCTTTTTACCCCCAACACGAAATTCAATTAATTTTCGCACGAAAATCACGAGCAAAGATTTTTTTTTTTTTTTTTTTCGCGCAATCGACGAAATAACAATACGATGCGCGAGGTGAGTGTAAATGCATGCATAATAGGTATAACCCATCGCACGCGTGAATTGTGGTTTACGAGTCGCGAGAGGATGAAAAGAATTGAAGTATCCCATATACGTGCCCACATGACTCAACGTGGCGGCTGCAGCTTGTGGCGCGAGTACGAAAGTAATAAATATTAAGTTATTTTTAGAAGCAAAGT